GTCTACGCGAGGCAGTGCATCTCGTGCATGCGGTCCGCGACGTGCGTCAACACTTTGGCAATTTGGACAAGGCGATGGTCGTCGGGTTTGCAGTCGCAGAGCGCGAGGAGCGTTTGGGAAACCATGATTTCACTCTGATGGCGGGCGTGGACGTCCGTCTCGTGCCACGGACCACTGTAGACGTGAGTCGCGACTGTGGTGTGGAGCATTCCCTCCACGCTTCACGAAAGAGCTGGCCGACCCGTTTGAGGTCGAGGTATAAAAACGCGTCAAAGTCGCTGAGGACGATGGCCCGAATGGCAAAGGCACTCGGAAGGCGCGTGGCGTCCACGTCGTCCGGCAACATTGTCCGTGTCACGTAGCGATACGCCTTGCTCACGTGCGCGGGCTTGGTCGGTTCGAGCTTCTTCCGAGACGTGTTGTGCGGCGTCGACGCCCTCTGCGCCGCACTGCGGTGGTCCATGCGGTCGCGCAGCGCGCCTTTGGCAACGTACTCTTCGTGGTCGTCGCAAATGCCGGCCGCCATGGTCGCGGTCGTATACGGGTTGTAGCCCCACGCGAGCAAATATGCTTTTAGAATATTGCCACGGGCGGTAGGGCGGCCGCCGACCCACACCGACTTGCCGCGCTCGTACATGGTGACCAAGTTGTCGAGGTCTCTGTTCGGTGGGATCTTGTCGAGGACGCGGAGCGCGTTGTAAAAGTGGAGTATCGTACGCGCTTGGCCAATGTCATCGATCGCCGTCAAGCCCAAGGTGAACGTAATGTCCATATTCATCGAGAGAAGAACTTGGCCCGCCATGTACGGGTTGAACCACGCGCGGTCGACTTCCTTTTGGCTAAAGTACTTGTTGGCCGACGTTATGCGTCGGATGTCGTCAAACCAGCCAAGGACCACCTTGACGTTGTGCATGGTCGGCGCTGCCACGAGTAGACCGTCCACAATGCCACGATCGGCTTGCATCTGGGTGGCGTGGCGGTCGATCGTCCAACGCGTGTCGTCGACGACCTTGGCGCAGTGGATCCTATCACTTGGCGCGCCTTGCGTAGACAAGATGCTCACCAAAAGCGCATTGCAGGCAAAGAGAAGGGCCACCGAGATGTCCTTGGACGCGACATACGCCCGAAGAAGCTCGAGAAACGGGCTCGTCGACGGGCCGTGGGCAGTCATCAAGGGGTTGGGGACGCGCACGTGGAACGTGAGCAGCGGCAAAATGTGACCAAAAAACGTTTGGTGCAAGTCCCACAGCGATGACGCGAGCTCGTGCGGCTCGGCCCAGCTACGGCCAAACTGCCCGTCCGCCAGGATGACGCGCCAATTGGGTGCAATGCACTCGTGCACGCCGACCAACCTGTCCTGGAGGAGCGTGAGGCTAGCATCCAGTGCCCTCGGTTCCATGAAGACGACAGGGAAGAGCGCACACGTAAACTGGGCACGGACGCTGGCGTGGAAGCGCGACGCCGCGGCCGCCGACGTCTTGAGCGTTTTGGCGATCACGCGCTCGGCATCGGGACGGAGACGCTCGATGCTCACCCGCTTGGCCAACACCACGAGCTCGACCGCGGTGCCAAGTGTGAGACCGTCGTGCTCGGACACGAGGTCGATGAGAAACTCATCGACCTCGTGTCGTCGCAGATGAGAATCGCCAAAATATGCTCGAGATCCTTGAGGTGCGGGTACGCAAAGCTCAAGTCATTCCCAAGCACTTGGACGGCGTGGACGCAGGCGTTGGTGACGGCCGTCGCTGCGAGCAAGCTCGTGTGCCCGTCCTTGAACATTTTCCACGCAATATGGACCTCGCGCATCAGGTCGTCAAAGTCAAGGAGGAAGCATCTGCACTGGAACTTCTCGTCTTCGATACGCGCTTGCAGCGCTGCGCGGGCTGCGTCAGCAGCACTGGCCGGCGCGACAAAGGTCGTCATGTCGAACGGCGGCATCGGCGTCTCCGCCCACACGTCGGCGTCGTCATCGGCGTCGTCGGTGGCGAGGGCCTCAAAGGCGTTGGCCAAGTTGATCTCACCGCTAGTTGCATCGACGGAAGTGGGCGTCTTGACCGGAGCGGGCGTCTTGATGGGCACCAGCGGCGTCCACTGGACCTCGATCGCGCGAAGCGTGTTGAGGACATGCGTATGGCCGGCGTCGGGAGCCATTTTGAGAGAGTACTGGTGGCGCAGGCGGATGGCTGTCCCGAGCTTGCGCAGGATGGCAGCGGGCACGGGCAAGGCAGCCTCGACGACCTCGAGCGCAGCGGCGTAGATCTGCGAGACCGACCACTCGGTGACGTCGGCCGACCGCGCGCCGTGCTTCTTGACCTTGCGCTTGGCGTTCTTAGTCTTGGGCTTGGTCGCTCGGTGGAGCCACTCGAAGACGGCGTTGGTCGTCGCCTTGTAGCGGTGGTAGCGCCCACACGCACCGTCGCTTGGCATGCTGATGTGAGATTGCCATTCAGGTCGAACCGCAAAAATTGG